GCCACACAGGACTCCTAGAACTCATTTAAAGGAGGCCTAGTAGTACCGTAGGTTAAGTATTGGACTGCTAACTGTAAGGTCACAGGTTCAAACCCACCAGCTGCTCTAAAGGAGAATGTTAATTTTCCATAAAGATTAAACAAAAAATAACCCCAAATTGACTGCCACAAGTCAATTCCAACTCGTAAGGTTTTAATGACTAAATCTATATGAGAGCAACAGCCTCATATTCCTCCTGCAGAGCAGCTGGTAGGTTTGAACCACCGAATTTTAGCAGCCCAATGTCTAATGCCTAACCCGCAGTGCCACCAGCTTTGGAAATACTATGGAGCAATTCTACTGTGTTCTGTAGGGTCACTTTGAGTTGGAATTGACTTTTGTTTGTTTGTTTGTGGTGGGGTGGAGTGGGAGGTGGGGAAGTCCTTTAAACTCTAAAGGCCTTACGATAGGTCCTGTTGAATTCCTATACCTTGAAAATAGTAGTTTAATCACTGTGGTTGAAAACATGAACAATTAACAGACCTCATCATTGTTCTTATATATGAAAGGATGTAAGAAAGAGGCTAGGAAAAAGTACTCATACTGAATGGGAAGTTGACTTTAAATCTTAAAGGAAAATTACACATTGTTTTGTCCTCCCATACTGACTAAAGGTGACGTATCTATTTAGGTGACAGTAGACAGGGCTGGTCACTCAGACCAGAAGAGGAAATGTCAGTCACAGGAGCCTGCACTTTGATGTATACAGTGCCGGCATACATCTTGTCCACAGCATGCATATTAGACATATTTGTCGAATTGATTTGAGAGCGCTCATAATTCTTTAGGTTACAGTTAGTGCCTTTGTGAATAATCATAAGTTTATGCAGAACCTGATTTGATGTGCCTGTGGCTATGAAGGCCCCTTGGGTGGGTTATGAAGACAATGTACACTCCATGAAGGGAAAGGGAGACTCTCTCAGATATGCAGGAATACCTGGCACCTTCATGAAACCAACTTACCTCTCGGGTCATCATTCTTCCTTATACCAAAAGAAACATGTGCACTTAATTATACTCAGTGTGGCTTCTACTGTGTTTGAGGCCTATGAAAAGAGCAGAATCACCTATGAATACTATCATTGCTAAGGTCTAGGAATTTGTAGATGACTGCTCAGAGCAGGGGAAAATTGCTTAAAATAAAATTAGTATTTATTTTAAATGATAGTATGCCGACTAGAACTATATTATACAATCCTTTTTTAGCTAAATGTTTGTGTAACTTGAGATCCTTTCTTAAATTTACAGAATCAATATTAACACATTCTCATTTTTCTAGAATCCCAGCAACCAAAAAGGTCAGTTACTTTCAAATTCTTTTTCCCTATAAGCATGACTCTAAAGTATAAGCAGATGCTCATGATAATCATTCAGACTACAGGTTCCAGTGTACCTCCTGAATAATTCGTAAGTGACTGTTTTTAGTACATGTTTAAAGTTAAGTGGAGTCTTGGTGTGGTGCTATATAGGATCAGTACTGGACCACAATATCAGTTTGAACCACAAGGTCGGTGGTTCAAAATCACCAGTCACTCCTTGTAAACCCTATACAGGGTTCGCTATGAGTCAAAACCAACTCAATGGTACTTAACAACAACAAAGTTAACTTTATCTTATTATGTTCCAATGCCTAGAAAATTGGCCATATGTACAGGATGTATATATGGATAATCACTTAAATAGAAAATTCAATTAGCCAGAGAATTCCATTTATCAATCATTACATAGAATCAAAGGTTTATTGTATCTGTTGTTTCTCAGATTCACACGTCACTGTGTTCCCTCTTGAGAGTCTTTCCTATCCGTCTGTTATTTTCTCTAAACCCTAAGATTCCTTTCAAAATATGCCAGTTAATCTTATCCTGTCCTTTTGAAGATATTAACAGATTCTGTGACCATCATTTAGGTATTTTATTTTACTAATGTTAAAGGTTACTACTAATATTAAAGGTTACCACTAGCTCTGGTAACATAGTGGTTACAAGTTGGGCTGCTATCCTCAAAATCAGAAGATCGAATGGAACTTCCCAGCTGTTCCATGGGAGAAAGATGAGGCTTTCTGCTCCCGCAAAAATTTACAGCCACAGAAACCCTGTACAGGGTCACTATGAGTCAGAATCAACTCCATAGCATAAAACCACCACCAGCACTATTAAGTATGGAAAAAATTTTTAATAAGTTGTTGTTGTTGTGAAGTGCCATCGAGTCGGTGTCAACTCATAGCAACCCTGTATAGGGTTTCCGAGGAGCAGCTGGTGAGCTTGAACCTCTGACCTTGCAGCTCAAACTGACCTTACAGGTCTGTGCATGAACCCACTTCGCCACACCAGTACTTCATATCTTGTACTATATGATCCAAATG